CTGCTACTACTGCTACTACTGCTGATACTGCTACTACTGCTACTAGTGCTCCTGCTGCTACTGCTACTGCTGCTGCTACTGCTGCTGCCACTACGCTACTGCTCAGTTTTGGCCACGGGTAGGTGCCTGCTAAGGCAGCAGATGGTGGCGGATCTGCTCAGAGAGCACGTCTGGGCCCTTGACGGAAGGCTTTTTTGCCAGGAGGGTTCAGGGTTTAGGTTTTAGGGCGTGTCGGCCCCAGTCAAGATGATTGCAGGTCTTGGTCTGGCTAGACTTGAGTCCAATAGCGAAAAGGGCTAGGGGCATAGCCCCGGTGTAAAAGTGGTTGGGAGACTTTCGGGTTGAGGGTTGAGAGCTCGGGTTTAGAAAGTGCCGCTGACATCACGCAAGCCAGGGCATATGTCAGGGATCTTGGTTAGTGTATGTAGGGCCCCCATTCCGAAAGGTGGCCTCGAGGTTTAGGGCTTAGGGTCAGGTCCGGCACGCACACAAACTCTGGCTTCTGTCTGAAGCTTGCGGGTTTTTCTTTGCATGTCAGCAAGCAGGTGAGCACTTATGAGGCACTGTCATCCCTGGTGTAAATCGACCCTGCCATTTGCCGATCCTCATGTGTATGAGGCCTTGCGACCCTAAACCCTAAACCCTAATCTCGGCGACTTCTTGGCTGGGATGCGATGCTACGAGGCCATCAACCACGACTTGTCCTCAGATGCGCTCTTCGAGCAGCTTCGAAGAGCCGGCGAAGGCTTCAAGTGCAATAATAATAACAATAATAAATACTATTTAATAATCGTAATGATAATAAGAATATTTCTGAAGGGTGCCAGGAGAGCCTGTCCCAGTGTGCTTCTCTGGCTTGGAAGGCGAAGACACTGCAGAGGAGCCCCCTGAGTTCAGCAGATTCTGGACCCAGTCGCGGCAAAGAGAGGATGGCACCATCTCATTGGCCTCCTTCCGGACTTTTCTGTTGAACAGCCTGCCACCCAGAGCACCACCGAACTTTGCGGCCCAGCGCCGACATGTGCCGACATTTGCCAGGCGTGAGGATGGGAGAGGCAGAACTGGAGCTGGCTCTGCAGGGCTTTGAGGCACCGAGAGAAGAACAGCATGACTATAACGGACTACAACATGACTATAACTGTAATAGTGTGCATGGTTGAAGTGTTTTCTCCCTTCCCTTCTGCGACTTGGTTGCAGTGTTTCAGCAATCACCCATTGCATGCCAGGCCAACCTGACTCGCTTTGCTCTACTTGATTTAGTGATGGCCCCGGCTAAAGCAATCCCCGTGCCGAAGACAAGAAGCACATCGATTGCTGCTGCAATATGAGATTCAGACTCTTGGTTGGCCATCCGAGGTAGAGGAATACAGAACGTCCAGAGCTTTGTGTGCTATTTCCGGCCAGCTTGATTGTGCATGGCTTCATTGCGCTTTTTTCTGACAGTCTTCCCCTGAGCCCGTGAGCCCAGGTGCGTCAAAGAAGTTGCAGTGACCCCCGCTTTGGAGGCGGGACAGCTGAATTCTGGGTCCAGATTCGGAGAGCCCAGCCAGCACTTTAGCCGGAGTCGAACTGTGCAACAACTGCCAAGCCCCAAGCCAAGCTACTTCTTTGAACAGGTCAAGGGAAGTACTGCAATGAGGAAGCTCGAGCTCGAAGAAACTGTGGAGGTGCGCCGAAAGCCAGAGTCTCCTGCATATCCTGCTGAGTGAATTCTGCATGAGAGGTTTTCAGTGTCTTGTTGCCCGGGCTGTTGAGATGAGCCTTGTGCTTCCCTGCATCTTGCTAGGTACTTGGCCAACACAGTACGGCTTTGATCTGAGAGAGTGCTGCAGACCATGAGTTCTTCATCGACTGTACTCGCCTGATGTGTGCAAGGCTACTTCAGTACCACCAGAGAGAGAGAGAGAGAGAGAGAGAGAGAGAGAGAGAGAGACCGGGATGTGAAACTGACTGAACAAATATCGGCCTCAGTCGGGAAACACATCCTGCGGAGCTTTCACGCTCCCCCAGAAGACTCGCAAACGAACGCGGGTGGGCACCACCCCCAATGCCCGGGAGAAGGATATGGACCGCGGAGACCAGTGCGCTTCACTGTGCTGAAGCACGTCGAACACCAACTTCGTCTTAAACGCGGATCGAACATTTCTTGTCAAGCCAAACGGTGTCCAAGTCACTGCTCACAAGCGCGGGGGGTGCCCTCCAAGCCAAACGAGGGAGAGAGAGGGCGTTGCCTTGAGGGCTATACAAAGGAGCCACTACGGCTAACAAAGAAAGAAGAGATGGAGATCGAGAGAGGGAGAGAGCGTTGCAGGCTTTTTCGTTCGTGCTTTGTTGCGGGCTCTTGAGGAAGAGGCCGCCGGGCTCCTCAGATCACGATGTCGAGCTCTACGAGATAATCTCGAGGGCTGGGTGACTCTGAACGGGAACCAGGTGCCCTTTCCGAAGGGAGGCAGCAAAGAAGTGTAATGAACTCATCCGAGCCCCTGCGCCGCCAGGGCACGGCCTTCCTCAAGAGGGTTAGCAAGCCCTACTACTTCTGCAAGGCCCGCTCCCTCTCCCTCTGCCTCCTCTCTCTCCCCTCCTCCCGCTCTCTCCCCCTCTCTCTCCCCTCTCTTCTCCTTCTCTCTCTCTCTCTCTGGCTCTCTTGGGCAGCATGTACTCATGCTGCGACTAGTTGGAGTTTGGAGGCAGAAACTCCCCTGATGGAGTCCTGCGCTGGAACCTGAGACCTGAGAAGCCCTTCGAAAGCTCGGACAGCCGCCTGAATCCCGCGAGGCCTCGACAGGAAAGCCTCTGGGAACTGCACGTCCGGGGCCCTTTTGGGAGGTCTAAGGCTGACTGAAACAAACCCTCTACGGTTCTTCTGAGGGGTATAATATACTAATGGTAAAAAATACCATTGATATTTTCTTAATAAGAAGAACCGTGGAATGTGATATAGGAGAGAGAGAGAGAGAGTCTGAGGCCACGGCGAGCTCCTCGAGGTGCTCGAAGGGCCAAGGTTCGAGAAGACCGCGGAGGCCCGGTTTAGGGTTGGCCGGGTTGGAAGGTCATCGGGGTTTCCGGGTTTAGGGTTTAGGGTTTAAGTTTAGGGGTTTAGGGGAAAAAAGGGTTTAGGGTTAAGGGTTTCCGCAACTTCTGTGGCCGTTGGGACCTGGTGAAGCGGACAGGTGAGCAAAGCAAAGGGCAAAGCCAAGAAGGACCCGACCTGCAATCTATCAGGCGACTTTCCAAAGCTCTGATGTCGTTTGTTTGGCAAGGATGACAAAGTCGGCTCGGTGTTGTGCCTTTCTCAGTGGTCCCAGTCTAGATCCTTGCCGCACCGTGCCACGCCTTTTAGACATGGCTCTCTAGTTGCAACTTGCAGGTTCAAAGATGAATCTGGCAAGTGCTTCTTCGAATTGCTAGACGTGTTGCTCTGCAAAGGGCTTCCGCCTCAGATGAGCAGCGGCAGAGTGGTTGTGGAGTTAAGTGGCTGTTTCTCTGCTAGGAGTACTTGGGCTAAGGTGCGTGGCCCTCACGGACAACTTCGATATAGGCTCGCCTGCCGCTGTTAGCAGAAGAATTTGGACTTCCATCTTTGGTGGCTTACGGATCGGGTTTGCGAGTGTGCCCCCTCATTTAGGTTAACCCGAGGTACCTTTGTCCTAGTACCCAAACCCGAAACACCAAGACAGCAAGCAGCCTAAGAAACCTAAGACCTAACCACCTTACATCCCAAACTCTCAGTCGCCAGGTGCTTGCAAGGCCATCCGAAAGCTGGAGGTAGGAGAAAGGCTCCAGGCTCTCGAGGACTCGCACTGTCTTCGTCGCCTGGATGTTGGTGTCTGACGTCGTCTTGCCTAACTGATCGCTGTGCCCGAGCGGCTCCGAATAGAAGTAGCTCGCTGGAAACAATATGGCACTCTGGTTCTGCGGTGCTGCTAGCAGCAGTGCAGTAGGATCGCGGCAGTGTTTGGAGGTGGCAGTGATGTGGGATAGTGGGATGGTCATGTTGTTGGGTGTCTCGGAAAGATTCGGAAAGGTTTCCCAATGCCGCGTCCCCTTGACTCCCTGGCCTCGCCCCAGAGAGAGAGAAAGCGCCAGCTTAAAGCGTGAAGCTTGGGTACCTCTTGCCGGACAAAGCGACGAGAAGCTTTTGAAGGGCCTTTGTGTCGAATTCGGCGGGGGGGGGAGACCCTAGGACTAGAGGCCTACATGCTGGGATCCCTCCTTCCTTCGAAGGATCCCTAGTCAGAAGGTCTCGCCTTTCTGAGCCCCGCCCCCCATCTTTCGCTTCGAGTGCGCAGCCTTTTGAAAGCAGGAGCCAAGGGAGGACGCGAAGCGACACCTCGTTAGGATGAAGGTGGCTTGGCATCTAAGTGAAACCTAACACTTGTAGTAAGGATTCCAGTCATCGGATTCTTCGGTTCGTTGCTCGGCGGGTTCCTCATTTTCTGAAACTTTCATATGCCAATCAGTATAACAACTGCATCGAATATGGTCCCACATACAAGACTTGTCACGGGCTCTAGTCACAAGTGCAGCCGACGGATATTGCAATGCATGTACGGGCTGAGGTGAAAGCCCTCTCCGACGGCCGCGAGCTCATGACAGATCCACATTCGGATCATAGGATGAAGTCGCACTGAAGAGGTGTGCCCCAAGAGCCATGCAATAGCCCATTCGCAGGAACTCGTGCCCAGTTCTTTGGTGAATTTAGTTTCTGGAGCTGTTCAAGGGAGAAGCTGCTCCCGGTTGCCCAAAGGCGTTGCCTCCTCCTCTGGCCCTCACGGAATTCTGAGGAAAGGGTCACATTACGACCGCTCGACTTGTAGCTTCCGCAGTGAATTGAGAGACGTCGAGCTCGTCAAATTGAGTCGAGCCCGGTCCTGTTGCCAAGGCAAAGAAGGTTGGGCCACGTCACAAGGTAATCAAGGCCGGGGATGGGAGCTCGGGAAACAGAAGGCTCAGGGGACGTGTGTAGGCATGTGCTGAGCTATCAAGCTCGATGCCTTCTTGAGACCTTGAGCATGCATTCACCATGCCAGCTTTACAGTAATCCTGCCGCCCTGCCTATAGTCAGGAACCATGTACGTGGCGGCGAACAACCGTCACTACACTTGCATCCACAGCGCGCGTCTCCCGGCTGTCCGGGGTTGCGGGCTGGCCCGGCTGTCTCAGCGATTTCTTGCTGCGACTTGCGAGGTCGACTTGGAGACCACCTCGGGCCAGGCGAGGCAGAGGGCCTTCAACGGGAGCTCCTGACCCTAGAAGCGTAACGAAACCCTAAAGTCCTAAAGACCCACAAACTGCTTTCCTGGATTGTCCGAGTGTGAGCGCCGGAACTTGTTTTTTCTGTAGATGAAGGTCAGGAGACTCGAGCCTGGTGAGCGCCGCAACCTCGACTCCCGAACGTCCGCCGAAGCGTCCCTCAAATGCCCGCTTCGCTCAGACTTCGAGCTGCTCCAAGACCCGACGACCGAATCGAGACAAGGCAGGACCGTGGATCTGCAACAATATTTCGAAGATTGTGTCAAGAGGCCAGGATTCAAGAGGTTTTGCTTGTGGCCGATGCCAGGCAAGCTTTTTGCGAGGGGGCGCTGCCTTTCCAGCTCCGCTCAAGTAGGCACGCGTCGGGATGGAATCGCTCTGTTCTCTAGCACCCGTCGTTGTACTGACAATCGTCCAGTATTCTCCGTAGTTTTAGTAGTTGGTCAAGGATGACGGTTGCTGTAACTTCATGACGGTAGATGTGCAAGTTGTGCAAGTGCATTGCAAAGGCGAGGGCTGGTTTGCAGTCGACGAAGCTGTACAGCCTTGGATACACCGCAGGAGCCCAAGAACTGATGACTGGCTGCTTCTAATCTACATGCAGTCGCTGTTTCTGGTTCGTCCTACCCTTAGGCCAAAAGTGTGCCAAAGATGCCACTCTGCGGACATCCATGGATGCAGATGCAGAGGCGCCTTTCAGCCGTTTCCACCATCTCAGCTTGTGCCTTTTTGCATGGGCCTCTTGCAGGTGGTGCGTGAGCTAGCTGAGGGCGAGGATGTTGAGATTTGTCAGGCTTGGCCGAAGCATGGCTCCTGTCGTAATGGACGAGCCAGCTTGTGAGCAAGTGCTGGATGCATTTTATAGGTGAAAAAATTTGGGCGAAAGACAGAGCTTAACCGGCATGGCAGATGTGCTGCCTGCTTGCAGGCTCCAGAGCCCTCCGCAAGCTCAGCAGGCCAGTCGTTCGGAAGATGGCTGTCCCAAATGGCCTGAATCAACAAGTTCGGAACCCCTAGGTGAGATGTGTGCTGCCAGGCGGCGCGTTGATGGTTCGTGTTCGAGCGAAGAAAGCCGTACGCTCAACATCGTCGCTTCAAAATGCTTCCAAGATGTTCGTAGGTGATCTTTTTCAAGAAAACCCACCGTCTTGTCAGTCTGATGTCTTACCTACCCCTGTAAGCAGTCCTGGGGTCTTTGTGTGCAAGAATTGGCCTTTTCTCTTGCTTCCACAGAACGTTCCCAACGTTGCCCTCAAAGTTGAGTCGAGGATGGCGTGGCAGGCTTTCTGCCCTTGTTCGGAGAGGACGGCCAGGCTCGATCATGACAGGAGCTGTTTTGGTTCACGTGCACTGGCCTGGGTTTAGTTTGGGGTTCAGGGTTCAGGGTCAAACTCATTTCTCGATTGGCAAGCTTGTATTCAAACGATGGTGGCTGCAACGCATTTCCGGTTCGGCTGACGGAGGCGCTACTCGTCTGATGGGCCGGGGCAGTCATGCTCCGGTGTCCAAGACACAGCTGGGAGCAGCGAGACTGATAGCCTCTGACAGAGCACCCCCTCAATTCCAGAGACCCTACAACCCGCCGAACAAGCAGACAGATTTCACATTTTGTATTCCAGCGGCAGCAGAGGTGCAGCAGCAGCGGCAGATGACAAGAGACATTGCAAGTAGGGGTAGCTTCACACAGACGGTATTCCCAACCCGGAGCTGAGAGGACTTTCCCTCACTACTCTGGTCCAGTCGGAGTGCTGGCATTGTCAGCTTGGATACATTGGGTGAAACTCAGTTCAGCAAACATCCACCGACCCAACAACATCATGCGAGAGAGGCATGGCTTTAGCTCAGACCTTCACCGGAAGGTTTGTCGTGGCAGAGGATTTGCTAGGATCTTCCCTCCTGAGGCGGAGGGGATGATCGTCATATGCGGTGCCTTGCCCAAAAGTAAGACTTCAATTTATCATATCTAGTTCATTGGCACCTCAGTTATAAAACCACCAGGGACGAACACTAGCAATGGATCCCCGAGACATGATATGCATATATATATATAGAGAGAGAGAGAGAGAGATAGAGACTACATCATGAAGGGTACCAAATGATACAACATCAATATCGGCTACATAGATTTTCGCACCTCTATGAGGGAGAATTGCTTCCCAGAATTTCATGGTCCTGAATGTTCATATTATAGAGGGTCTCTTGATGCATTTAAATATGAGATTCTAAATAAGGAAAGCAATGCCCAAAGGTATTGAATTTTCTATTGAATAATTTAAGGAAAAATTCTTGAAAACGACTTATTGATTTAAGATTGAATAAAGAATGATTTGTTGTTCTTTAGTATGAAGGTGAAAGATGAATCTGAAAAAATTGAATATTGGCAAAGAGAGATTTGTTTCTATATACATATTCGAATTTAGATATGATCTAGGATCTCTTCATTAAAATTTTGATAATAAGATCTTCGAATTTGATAAGATGATTGAATATAGAATATATGCATATATATATATTTATTTATTTATCTATTTATGTATGATATTTTTAGATATAATCTTCAGAATATTTGTTTTAATTCTTTTAATATATTGATAAAAACGAAACTATATTTGGAATAATCTATTCTATAGATTCATTTAAACTTTTAAAGATTCTATTCTTTTGATTTATGCTCGAAACTTTTGGGAATTTTAAGATCGCGAAATTTCTTTTTGATATATTAGAGTAAACAATTGAATTTTAGGTTTATTTGAATAAGCTTGAATACTAAACTTTTTAATTTTTTATGAAAATATTAATAAGGAAATATGAAGACATATATAGTATATTCTCTAATTAAAACGGTGTCGTGCTGGTCGCCGCCGTTTTTTTTGTGCGCGCCCTTGGCCCCTGGAACTTCGTACTTTGGCGCGTTTCTTTTTGAAAGTCTCTTGCGTGCTTGTCTCGCGGTACTAAAATTTCGGAAATTTTCGTACCGGAAGCAATTTTTTCCGCTACTAAAATTTCCAAAATTTTTGATAGCTTTAGGAAATCTCGCGGTATTAAAATTTCGGAAATTTTCGTAGCTCGAGGGGGACACGCTCCCGGCAATAAAATTTCCGAAATTTTCGGTAGGCATGCTCGCGGTAATAAAATTTCCGAATTTTTTTGAGACATGCTCGCGGTAATAAACTTTCCGAAACTTTAGTACCGGGAGAATGTCCTGAATTAGGCTTTGAGGACCAATTTCAGGGCCGCTCGAAAAGCACTGGCTGTCTGTCTCTTTGTCTCTCTGTCTCTCTCTCTCTGTCTCTCTCTCTGTCTCTCTCTCTCTCTGTCTCTCTGTCTCTCAGGGCCGCTCGAAAAGCACTGTCTGTCTGTCTCTCTGTCTCTGCTGTCTGTCTGTCTGTCGGTCTGTTTGGGTCTGTCTGTGTCTGTCTGCGTCTGTTTGTGTCTGTCTGTGTCTGTCTGTGTCTGTCTGTGTCTGTCTGTGTCTGTCTGTGTCTGTCTGTGTCTGTCTGTGTCTGTCTGTGTCTGTCTGTATCTGTCTGTATCTGTCTGTGTCTGTCTCTGTCTGTCTCTGTCTGTCTCTGTCTGTTTCTGTTTGTCTGTCTCTGTCTGTCTCTGTTTGTCTCTGTTTGTCTGTCTCTGTCTGTCTCTGTCTGTCTCTGTCTGTCTCTGTCTGTCTCTATTTGTCTCTGTCTGTCTCTGTCTGTCTCTGTCTGTCTCTGTCTGTCTCTATCTGTCTCTCTCTCGGTCTTTATCTCTCTCTCTCTCTCTTTTTCTTTCTCTGTCTATTATATTTATTTGGGTTCAAGAGAATATATTTGATTCTAATATTTTATTTATTATATGTTATTTGGTTATTTTATTACTTTGTTCGAAGATATATATATATATTTTCTTTTTCTTCTGATTGTAATTATTGGTAAATTATATATTTGGAAAATTTTGTATTTTTTGGCAAAATAAAGTAGAGGTTCGTTGACTTATGGGAAAAGAATATAAATCTTTAAAAATCGAGTATTGTTGGCAACCGTTGATCTCGAATTATCGAAAAAGGCTTGGATCGATATAAAATAGAAAGATTGGAAATTGGTATATATATATCTTTGTTTGTTTATATTTATCTATTTGTATTTGTTGGTCTGTCTATTTCTATTTATTTCTATTTGTTTAATTATCTATATTTCTCTATTTATTTGTTGATTTGTCTACCTCTATGTATCTTTATTTATTTAATTGTCTGGGTTTGTGTCGTTCTATTATTGGGACGATTTATTCGTTTGTCTATTTATGATAAATATTTTAATAATAGAGTGGCTTATAATCTTTTTCTTTGTTATTGGAAACAACTTATATTTTAATGGTAAATTGACTTGTAGTTTCTTTTCTTCCGCTGTTGAAAGTAGTGGGTTCACTCTAGTATTTAAATGATAGATTATATTGACCGAAAATTCAAAATTTTGGATCGACTATGATATATGGTTAAATATTGAATTATATGATAAATATCGTTCGTTTTCTAATAAAATGAATAGATATATTAATTGATTTAATAAATGAATAATAATGATGATGAATATATGTAATATTATTGAATATTATTATTGATATTGAGATCGTATGAGAAATATTACTTTCTTGAAATGATTTTCGAATCTTGGATAGTGTTGTTCGTCATATTTGCGAAATTATATATATATATAATAGAACTTAAATCTTAAATTCGATTACGCGGGACTCCAAACTCGTTTGTATTGAATTTTGTTATTCGATTAATCTGAGAAATCGAATATTATTTCGAAATATTTAATTTATTTATATGTATTATGATTAAAAATAGTAGCCAGTAATAATAGAATTAGTAATATTAATAATTATAATTATAGCCACGAGACTAATAATATTAATAATATCAGGAATAATATCAAAACCCGAAACTATAATTAATATAATTACGAATAATAATTTTCGCCAGCTGGATAATAATATTGAATAAATCCATACGAAAAATAAGATTGGGGAGGATGAGAAGATAAATTATACAGATTAAAAAATGAGATGAATTATGATCTATCGTGAATAGTATCGTCCGTATATGGTCTTATAATCTATATTTTCGTAGAAAAAAGAAGTCTAAATAGCGAAGAATATAAGATGGAGAATTTGAAGTAATACTTATATTATTAGAGAAGATTTTGATTTAATAGCAAGATCAATAACATTAATAAACGATACGAAAAATAAATAAATAATAATGACTATCATATCGTTGATATATTAACAGTGGTTGATTTAATATTAGAAATATATATCATAAATTTTTATTCTTGCCGTGCATTTATTTGCAGCTATATATATATCTATTAATCTCTAATATTCTTTATATTGATTTTTATCATTCTATTAAAATAAATTCAAATCTTGCAGCATTTCTAATATTAACTACAAATCCCCGGATCGTTTATAAATATGCCGTGAGTAGTATATGAATTCTAGTCTTATAATTCCAATATCAATTCCAAATCTCCAGCCCGTTGACAATCTCTGTGATCAGTAACAGCAACCAATGATAACAAGCACAACATCATGAAGAACAATCCCATCAATAATATCAAGCAAGCAAACATCATGAGACAATCAAAATTACGAAAATATGAGATAATCTAAATTCCTAGAATAGGTCGCCTATAAAATCTTGCCATTTCTTTGAATAGTAATAAGATATAACAACAGAGAAGATTGGACCAAATTTTGTCGGAATCGCGGAAATCATATCAATTGCTTCTTGTCCGGCAAAATTTGGCCCGATCTTCTCTATTATTGATTTGCATCGATAATATCAAGAAAATTGAATATAAGATATTTAAAGATCTAGAAATATATCGTCTCCAAATTTGATTCCATTTTCTTTATTATCATATCTTATTGATATCTGTCGATAATCAAAGAGATAACAACAGAGAAGATTAAACTAGATTTTGCCGCAATAGGGAGGGGGGCATATCTATTACTTCTTATCTATTAAAATTTGGTCCGATCCTTATTGTTGTTATTTCTCATCGATAATATCAAGAAAATCGAATATCCGGTAACCAAGCTTGTGCGATAAATTCGCTCCCAATTTTTTGATCTAATTCTCTCTATTGTCAAATCTTATCGATATCAAGGCAAGAAGAGTGGAGAAGATTAGATCAAATTCTGCCAGATATTTGGAGACCATTTCAATGATTGCTTGTCCGGCAAAATTTGGTTCAATTAAAATAATATCACTTATAGAATAATATCGGAAAATTAATACGATATAATATTAAAGCATATTATCCAAAAATTAAAAATTCATTTTTTTATATTATATATTATATAAGCTCTAAAGATTTGTTCTTTCTAATTCTTTCATATAGCAATATCTTGTAGTCCCAATCTTGGTTGTGGTTCATCAAATCGCCAGTGCTGGGCATAAGACCAATCAAGTTAGAATTTCTCACTTGTACCT